CGGCGGTGAAGACGACATCGTTTCAATTGGAATGAGGAAGAAGAAGAACAATTGGTTCAATTTATAGGCGACCACCCTCAAAGTTCCCATTCACACTAACTTTTATGTATTTTTATTTGTCTATTTCTAGTAAGTCTGATAAAGACAAAAAATATATAATAGTTTTTATATTTTTAGTAATTTTCAACATTGTTCTTATTCTTAACCATTTTCAATTTTTTGAAAAATATATCATTCAATTTGTTCCTTAATATTTTTATTTTTTTAATTACATTCTTTGTTAAATTTATCAAAATTTACTAGAAAAAAGATTGATCATTAATTTATTATATTATTTCAATACATGGACATCAGCCTCATCATTGAGCTGGGYCGGTCCAGTCCAAAGAAGTAATGGCCCAAGCTTGGCCGAGGTCCAAGTCCTACGGGCCTCAAGTATTGTTTGGACTGGGCTTGGGCCGGTCCAACCACTCAAGCTTAGGCTCATAGCTCAATCCATGAGCCTAAGTTAATGAGTCAAAATTGGATCGGACTTGAATCGGCCATTTGGATCGGGTTTGGATCGGCCCGTATATTAATATATTTTTAATTATTAAATTTTAAAATTTAAATAATTTACAAACTATGTTTTTTATTTTTAAATTCTAGAATATATGTTTTTATATAATTTTTGGTACATTTTTTTGGTTAGTTTTATAATTTTACTCATAAATTTTATTATCTCATATGTTACAAATTTAAGTTGTCTTATTTTTAAAAATTATATTTTTTATTTTTAAAAATTAAATTTATAATTTTTAACTTTATACCGGAGAAATTGAAAATTTAAACACTTTGAATGATTTGAGATTGAGAATTATAATTAGAATTTGAGTGAAGAAAAAAAAGAAGGTTGATATTTATAAGAAAATTTTATATTAAAAAATTTTAAAAATTACAACCTAAATATTATTAGATATGTTTTAAAATAATTTTAAATTTTGAATTTGGGAAGTTAGAGTCTCTTCGTAATATGTACTTATTTAAGAGGGAGAAACAAAAATCCTACTTCCTACATGTTAGCCTACCATATCTAATTTATTTTTTATAATAAATAAATATATTAATATTATATAATATAAATATTAATAAATATTGGATCGGGCTTTTAGGTCGACCCTACAGGCCAATCCAAATACGGCTTGGGCCGGCCCAAATTAAAAAATGAATATCCATATCTAATCCAATTAATAGAAGGATTGGATTGGGCCGGGCCGGTCAAACGTTGACCTTGGATCGGACTTGGACTGGGCCTGGACCGACCTTTAGACCTCGGGCCCGATGATGAGRCTGACATAGACATGTCATTTCTATGTATTTGGAATATATTTGATATGTACATTGAATCAATATGAATTTGATTCAATCTAATTTGTTCATCTTTAAAGTTCGACTCACCATCAATAAAAATCTAATTTGTTGATCTTTAAAATTCGACTCACCGTCAATAAAATCTCTGCATAAATTTATATGTCAATGAACTAAACATTTTAAAAGATTAAAGGTAAAATTAAGAATTATATAAAAGATTAAACATCATTTGATATATGAATGTTGAATGATAAAATTGTAGTGCTACCTTTTGAAATTTGGGCCAAAGTTTCCTTAGTCCGAAGACGTGGTTCAAACGGGCAAGCCCATTAGATCCAATATGAGCACAAGTGGGCTAGTTTAGTGCGGGCACGAAACGGGTCGAGTTATGACCCGCTCGTACAACTGGTGAAGGAATTGTTGAAGAAAACATAGGTTTAAGGAGGGTTTAATGGCGGCCACTCTGGTTCTCTTCTTCACCTTCCCACTGCGTTGAGATCTCTACCTCCGCTCCCTCCCCCCCATCCTGTTTTTGAATTCTTCATCTTCACGCTTCTGTGCTATGTTTCTCACTGCCTGAAGAAACTACATATGTCGACTATCATATTTTCACCTTCTCCATCTCCATCAGCTGCATTTTGGATTCTTTGAACTTGTTGTTTAAGGAATTGGGAATCCCTGGTACCAAAGAATGTGGAGAAACATTGTCAAAAGAGCTGCTTCAAGGAAGGATATATTATTCTCCCAGCCGTCTTCTTCTCGCTTCAGAAAAGTTATTGAAGACCATATCTTTCTCGAGCAAATTAGATCTTCCAGGACGCACAGAGGCTTGAACACTTGTCGCCAATTGGCAGGCTTTCGTAGAATTGGCTTTCTCCATCCCGACAATCCACATTCAAGCGAACCCCTTCTTTTTCATGGGGTTTTAAACCATGCCAAAGGCTACGCAACTGCYGCCGAGGCGACCATATCCGAGGAGGACTTATCGGGCTCCGAAGAAATTCAGGAATTGATGGAGGAGCTAACAAAACAAGAAAAGCTGGAGCATCACTTTAAGCAGCCTAAGAGAATGGTCGATGGAATGGGAGTGAGTAAGTACAATATGCTGCGGAAGAGACAGGTAAAGATGGAGACAGAGGCATGGGAAGAGGCTGCCAGAGAGTACCAAGAACTTTTAACGGATATGTGCGAACAGAAGCTGGCGCCCAATTTACCTTACGTGAAGTCTTTATTCCTTGGTTGGTTTGAACCATTGCGTGATGCAATTGCTGCGGACCAAGAGTATTGCAAGGATAAGAAGAATAGAGTGTCTCATGCTCCTTATTTTGATCTTATACCGGCAGATATGATGGCAGTGATTACGATGCATAAGTTAATGGGGTTGTTGATGACTAACAGCGGAGGAAATGGTAGTGTCAGGGTAGTCCAAGCTGCTTGTCAGATAGGAGAAGCAATTGAACACGAGGTTGGTTGGTTGGTTTAAAGTTCTTAGTTTTATTGTCTACAATTTCGTATTTATTTGTCATTTTCAGTTGATTATAAGTTCGTCAGAGATCAGAGTGAAATGATGGGTTTCTTTTCAATATTTTGTTACCCGCCAATTCTGGTTAAAAAAAAGGCTTAATCGAATGCTTCTCTTGCGGCCCTTGCTTTTCGTATCTTTCTTTTATTTTCTCAGCTAAAACTCTGTAATCGCTTAAGCTGCATAACTGGGATTCGTTTGGGGGGCGGGGAGTGATTCATCGCAATGTATAGTATGAATAGTCTGCATGTCTCCCCCCCTTTCACCTGGTGCCCAGAGTTGTCCATTGTTCAGCTAGTTTTCTTACCTTTTTTGTGTCAGTTTTTCTTTCTTGCATACAGATATGTAAGATAATATGTGAAACATTTATTTGGACGATTTTCCTTGCTACGAAACAGGTCAGGATACACAAATTCTTTGAGAAGACAAAGAAGAAGAACGTAAATGAAAAAAATACTGAAGCAGAAGCTGATCCTGTGGCCGAAGAACAGGAGAAACTGGCTAAAGAACAAGACAAATTGAGGAAAAAAGTCACCAAACTGATGAAAAAACAGAAGTTGCAGCAAGTGAGGATGATAGTCAAGGAGCAGGACGATTTAAAGCCTTGGGGTCAGGATGCTCATGTGAAGGTTTTTGTTTTAAATTTTTTGTCCAAATGTTGTTGTCTACTTGCTGCTAGTTACGTAGATCCCATGTATGCATATTAACAACTAAAAATTGTTTAATTCTAGTTTCTATTACCTTCCAGGTTGGTTGCCGTTTAATGCAGTTATTGATGGAAACAGCTTATATTCAACCCCCAATTGATCAGTTAGGCAATGGTCCGCCTGATATTCGCCCTGCATTTGTCCATACTCTTAAAACTATAACAAGAGAAGCACAGTAAATAAACCTTGCACTCTGCTTCTCGATTTAGTTAACATATTTCTCTCAATTCTCTTTTTGTGCATGTTATTTCCATGTCTGAACTCTATTAGTCCTACTACTATTAATTATTATTATTTGGTCTTTTTTTTTCCTATAGGAAGACTAGCAGGAGATATGGTGTTATTGAATGTGACCCACTAGTTCGTAGAGGCCTGGAGAAAACTGTATGTAGAATCATATATTGTGGGCTGTTCCATAATTGATGGAAGTTTGGTTTTTTTTTTTTCTTTTCCTGTAAATATTATTTATACATTATTATGGTTGTATGATTTTTCTACTCTGTAGTTCTGCATGCCTCCTCAAAATTTCTCCTTTTCTATCTTGGATTAGTGATTGTCCTCAGTTTTGTCTCAGGCTAGACACACGGTCATTCCATATCTGCCTATGCTGGTGCCTCCTCTTAATTGGACAGGGTAGGCCATTTTATATTCTGAAGTTATTTGGATAATTTCTAATATTTTTCATGAATGTTTAGAGATTCTACAACTTGGTTCCACGTAAAAATATGCCATTTGTTGGAGAGGATATAGATTTAAGACTTGTTTTCTTCGAAGCATCAGTTTGATTTTAGTATTGTGCGCTTGTTCTGTTTCATATTTGATATTTGCTATTCTCGGTAGGTATGATAAAGGAGCATACTTATTCTTACCATCCTATGTTATGCGAATACATGGAGCTAAGCAGCAACGTGAAGCAGTTAAAAGGGCTCCAAAGAAGCAACTAGAGCCTGTTTTTGAGGTTTCAGATTTCTGGTCTCCATTATCACAGTTGAACGTTTTTCTATACATACCTTTGATTTTCCTTACTTCTTCCTCCCCCTTTTCCATATACCAAGTTGGAAAGTTAGTATCTCTTGGAGCACTCTGTTACTTCCTCTTTATGGAATAAGGTTTTTCTTTGGCAACTTTGTGTTTCTTGGACTTTTTCTTTTTAAGTTGTGATACTACCTTAGAAGGAGCTTGTGAGATGTAACCCATTTTACAGTTAAAGTCAATATTCTTTTGTGAAGTCGAAGTGTAGAAAGCAATARGCACATCTTCAGCAGGAATATTTGACCCTTGGAAAAGAAGTCATTTTACTGTTTCTTTCTGAACTCTAGTTACAAAAAAATTAGGACTATTCCTCATTTCGTGAAGCCTTTTCTATATTGATAACTATAGGTGTTTTCGATTAGCTTCTATGCCACTTGGTAATTTTATGTGACAATTGTCTACTCCTACAACTTTTTATGACTTGAAGAGATCATGTCCTAAGTTGGTAGCCTCAAAAAACTTGAATAAAAAACAATATCTCTTTGAGTACTAGACCAACCATGGTGGTTTTCAAATTTTTAAATTGTTAAGAAAGAGGAGTTTTACTCATACTTTTAGGGTCTCACATTCATAGTTTCCTTTATGGATGGTCGTGTAAATAATTAGGCTCCTGGCTTTTTTTTAGGCTTTTCTATTGGTTGATTATATTCTATGGTTGGATTTATTATTTGACCTTTATTATATCTCCTATCTTCAATGAAAGTGCTTGTTTCCCATTTCGATAAATATTAGCACTTGATTAGATTGTAACAGTTCTACTTGTTGTTTGTTTGACTTGTACAATCATGGTTGCATTTAGGCTCTTGATACACTTGGAAGAACCAAATGGAGGGTGAACAAAAGAGTTCTTAGCGTGATTGACAGGATATGGGCTAGTGGTGGTCGTCTTGCCGACTTGGTTGACCGTGAAGATGTGGGTCACTGAGGCAGACTACTATTTGTGCCTATTTGCATGTTTCTTTTCACTTATAAAATTGATATATTTTTTTGTAACTTGAAGTTCAATTTGTACAGGTTCCTCTGCCAGAGGAGCCAAATGTGGATGATGAAGCAGAAATCCGAAAATGGAAGTGGAAAGTCAAGGCTGCGAAAAAGGAGAACAGTGAGAGGCATTCACAGCGGTGTGACATAGAGCTTAAGCTTGCAGTAAGAACCCATTAGATGAATACAACTTAATTTGAATCCTCTTTCAAACACATTTCAATTTACTTTTTTTTCGTGGGCAGGTGGCCAGGAAAATGAAAGAGGAGGATGGCTTTTACTACCCTCACAACCTAGATTTTCGAGGCCGGGCATACCCCATGCATCCATATTTGAATCATCTTGGTTCTGATCTGTGTCGAGGAGTTCTAGAATTTGCGGAGGGTCGGCCTCTTGGAGAGTCAGGCTTATACTGGTTGAAGATACATTTGGCAAATCTGTATGCCGGTGGTGTGGACAAGTTATCTTACAAGGATCGAGTATCATTTACCGAGAACCATTTAGAGGAGATTTTTGATTCCGCAGACAGGCCTCTTGAAGGAAATCGCTGGTGGTTGGGTGCAGAGGATCCTTTTCAATGCTTGGCAGTGTGTATTAATCTCTCAGAAGCATTAAGAAGTCCCTCGCCAGAAACGACTATTTCCCATATGCCCGTACACCAGGTATTACTTTCATTATTTTTGATCTTCCATCCCTAGCTATTTACGTATTTACTGTTCGTTTCTTGTAATAATCTCTGCAACTCTCTCATTTTTCAAATCATAACCTCACAGCTATTCTGCAGTATTTGTTATTGTTCATCCTTATTGATTTCTCTATAATTTGGCAGGATGGTTCCTGCAATGGCTTGCAACACTATGCAGCTCTTGGGAGGGACAAGGTAATCAACTTTCACCTTGGTAGCTAGATAAGATTAAGATACACAGTCTGCTTAGAAGTGAAGCTACTTCCATTCTTACTTGGCTGTTTATTGTTTTTTTTTTAATTTTTAATGGCAGTTTATTTCAAATAGTGGAAATCTTTCTTTTATTATTATGTATTTTGTGAAATTCGTCAATTTTCACAATAAAGAAAAGTTCCGTGCGAGGTGGCAAGTTCAATGTTTCCCTATATGCCTTTAATACCGTGTCATTTTTCTTCAGTTGGGAGCAGCAGCAGTTAACCTTGTAGCAGGAGACAAGCCTGCCGATGTGTACTCGGGAATTGCTTCCAGGTTGCTGCATCTCTTGCTACATGTTTGATTGTATTGGAGGATTATTTTAGTTGTCCTTGATGTTTCTGATGAGTGGAAGTTGAGTCCTGATTCTGTAGAGTTACGTATGAAATGTGTGCTTCTTTTAAATCCCGAATTGTTACCAACCCTTTGGCTTGGTTTATTGTAGTTATTAGAGTCTAATAACTTTGGAAAAAGCCTGTTCTTCCAAATAAGCTGGAAAATTTTAAATCCTGGTTTGAAACTTCCAAGTACCATTGTCTAGTCACATGAGACCAAACCATGAGCAAATACGAGGATCATGAGACAAGATGACAAATAAATTATCTGTAACCCATTGATGCAAAGAAAAGTAGAAGTTAGGAAAGCACAATTGGTCCACTTATTTTCTTTGTATCAGAAGGCGGAAGTTGCAAAAAAGACTTCATAGTTATATCACCACTGGTTATTGCCCGGTATTGCTAAATCATTTTTATAAAGGAACTAATCATGCTTTCCACAAACTATACGAAATGAAAGTATGCACAATACAAGTGGTATTTGAGATAAAATCAAAAGGACCGTGCTGTGTGTTCTGTGCATTTTACTTCTTGAACTTTGGTTGACGTTGACCAACTATATCAAAGCAAAATCACCAATTTAGGCTGTTCTCCTTGATGCTTTTCTTTGTAAAAATGCTAGCAAAATGACTTTGTGTTTCAAAGCATGTTGTTGGCTTCCTGAGGGAATCTAGTTTCTTTGTTTATTTATATAATTTCTTGGTGCAGAGTTCTTGACATAATGCGAAGTGATGCAGAAAAAGATCCTGCAACTAATCCAAATGCATTGCACGCTAGACTTTTAATCAATCAGGTCTGATTACTACTGGTTCAAGGAGAAGAATTTTCTTAGATCTGTTTCGAAGAGCTGCTTGTCTWATGCTTCTCCTATAATGGATTCATATCTGTGACTGCAATCAGGTGGATCGTAAACTGGTGAAACAAACAGTCATGACATCAGTCTATGGTGTCACTTATGTGGGCGCACGGGAGCAGATTAAAAGAAGGTTGAAAGAACGATCATCCATTTCTGATGATTCAAAATTATTTGCCGCTTCTTGCTATGCAGCTAAAGTGAGTCAATATACTGCAACGTGCTTGTGAGAAAAAATATAACGACTTAAACAGTTTGTTGCTTCTTTTTTGCTGAACTTCTCTTCTAATTCCAGAAATGCTTTTTAGTGAACTTTTTTCTGATTTGAAAACTGSTCGTGCAGACTACCCTGACTGCCTTAGGGGAAATGTTTGAAGCAGCAAGAAGTATCATGAACTGGCTTGGTGAATGTGCGAAGGTGCGATCCCTCATTTAGTGATCATTGTTATTATGTTTGGTTTGAAAATATTTAGTCTCACCAACTCGAAGTTGGGATTGTCCACTAGTCTTCCTGCCTCTTGTAAGTTCTGTTTGTACTTTGTCCTCAGTTTCTGTCCTAGTCATTATATACCTAACTAGTTTTAATAACATTCATGATTTGTCCAAATTGTTTTCGCTTTCCCTTCCAGACCATGACCAAATAACATTCGAAATTTTGAATGAGGTTGTTCTTCGTTAGTTTATCAACAATCTTAGAAATTCTACACGGGGACTTACAAATCCTTAACTAACTCACACCTTGCATCACCTATTTACGTTACTTATGCTCTTGGGATTCCCACCTAGAATAAGTGAACTGGAAGGGGGGTTTCCTTCCTGTCAAGAACTTTCTCAGATCCTACCAGCTTCAGAAACAGAAACTTGGAACAAAACTACCCGATGCAAAGCTTCCAACATGTAAAATCTGCCACCCTTACCACATCCTTCAGCGCACCCAATAAATCTTACAAGTCCTAGCTTCCAAATTTGATTAATTTCTTCGAGTCAAGTCTTTTCACAATTTCATTTTAATTTCCCACACACATCTCCCTACTTTTGACACCTTAGTTCAGCTGCAGCATAGAGATTGGGAAATGTCAACATCAAAGGCTGGTCCACCAGCCACATGCTCTTCTAGAACCTCATCCTTGAACGCACACCCACTTGAGCTTAATATTTTCTTCGAACGTGGGTATTAATTTTGAAATACAACTCCAAGGACTACGATGTCCTACCATATTTGTTCAATTTTTTGAATCATCCTCCCTCTTCTTGGCATTTGATACTCAAAATAACATGATTTTATATCATCTTGGAGAGTGGACTGGTTCTTGCAACATTGCATGTGCCTTTCGGTAATTGTCCTTCTGCCTAGTTACCAATCAAGTTAGTGTGTAGCTTTCCTATGAACATCCTCGCATCTAATTTTCAACAGGTAATAGCATCAGAGAATCAGCCAGTTCGATGGACCACTCCACTTGGACTACCAGTGGTGCAACCTTACCGGCAACTAGGAAGGCATCTTGTAAAGTTCTAATAAATTTAAGCTACCAATTTTTTTTTTTGACTTCTATAGCAACAATTTTAGACAATCGTATTGTTGTTTCTGTATTTAACTGAAGCTATACTCGACTTGTTGCAGATCAAGACTTCCTTGCAAGTGTTGACACTACAACGAGAAACTGACCAGGTAGTTAACTCTCTTGGGAAGGGTCACTGTATGCAGTAGTGCAATTCATAGATCACAKGGATGTATTTTCTAGTGATTGATACCTATTATTTACTGCAGGTCATGGTTAAGCGGCAGAGAACAGCGTTTCCTCCAAATTTTGTACACTCCCTCGATGGTTCTCATATGATGATGACTGCTGTTGCCTGCAAGAGGGCAGGCTTAAACTTTGCAGGTTCACTTTGTTTTTCTTTTTCTTTCTTCATTGGGTCCTTTAGTTCAGCGAAAGATGTGAATTAAAAGTGTTCAATCGTGCTAATCTCTCTTCTTGCAATGTTAAATTACAGGAGTCCATGATTCATATTGGACCCATGCATGTGATGTTGATGAAATGAACAGGATACTGAGGGAGAAGTTTGTTGAGCTATATGAGGCCCCTATTCTGGAGAATGTAAGTATCTCTCCCCATACATTATTTACTAACATACATTCCCAAAAAATAATAATAATACATAATAATAAAATAAAGAAGAAAAAATGGAGAGAGGGATCCCATATTTCATCAGCTATCTATTATGAGAGACGAATCCTTTATACAAAAAGAACTGGCAGTCCTGACTACTTAGGGTTCTATTGCTCTTAGACAATCATTTATAAAACTAGTCTAAGCTGTTTTTGGGTAATTTAATCCCATTAGATATGTTAAAGGGTAATGCCCTTTTAATTAATACGAACATATCTGCAGGAGGAGGTTTAGAACTTCAATTATTTATGTATAGATAGACTAGTTAGGAAAACCAATGGCCCAATTTTTCACACATGACATGCTTCACATTGTAACGAGTCAATGAAAAATGGAGAACATCCAGTTCTCTACTTTTGATCATATTTATGTGAACTGTTAAAGTCTATGGCATCCTTGAACTCAACTCATCATCCTATGTTTCAAGTATCTTTTTCTATGCGGTTGCAATTTCTTTCCTTGTAAACTCAATGATTTTCATTTCTGCAGCTACTGGAAAACTTCCAGAAGTCCTTCCCCACTTTAAAGTTTCCCCCCTTACCAGACCGGGGAGACTTCGATCTCAAAGATGTCCTGCAATCTTCCTATTTCTTCAATTAATGCAACCTAGACGCCTAAGTTGGAAGCTCTTTCTCATGTGTTCTACTCGTCTGTGGATGACATCAGTCCTAGACAACAGTAGCAATCTTCAAATCATGGAAACCAGACTATGGAGGTAAGTGAAATTTGCTTCTTGGAGGAGATTAAGCCTGACCTTGGGTCAAGCTGGTCAAGGTCAGTGCTGTCCAGCTACTTGTACATATATTTCAACCATCGACTCTATATACATCTTGGAACTTGGAAGTTCATCTGCCATTCACATATTCAACTGACTTGAGAAAATAAAGAAAATGCTGCATCTTGGAGCTCCAGAGTTTCTACTTTCTTGGTGTTCTGACGCAGACTTTAAGTTCAAGATATACTGCAACCAATCAGAGCTTCAGAAAATGGAGGCCTCGGGGTAAGCTTGTTAACTTGAAGAGGAGAGATCCTTAGACATCCTCCATGGTTTCACATTACTGGAACCTCACTGACAATTCCCAAAGATCAGCTGGAGCGTTGCCATGGAGTTTTTCACTGTAGTCATAATTTATATTTGTTACATATTATTTGTGTAAAGTTCGTCAAGGAAAGTAGTGCTGATGGGGTCTCTTTTTTCTCTTTTTGTTTTAAAATATTGATTCATTCACTATTTCAAGGAAGAAGGAAAGTACCTACTTTTGTTGGGTTAAAAATATGGAATGTTCCACACCAACTTTGGCACATTTATCTCAAGTTTTAGGCATGTGACGTACCTGCTAATTTGATTTTAGTCCTTTTCAGATTGCATAGCAAGAACTTGGTCCAAGAAGCTCCAATAATGTAAGAAGCTTGCTAGAGAAGGTCTTGAATTACTTTTGGAATACATCAAATCTCTACCTAAAAGCTATCAAATGAAAAAGTTGCTCCTTTGAATTTACTAAATATTTAAATATAACCATGAGCCAAAATTTCAAAAGAAAGCTGCGAAGGAATTTCTTCATATCTGGATCAGAACAGATTAGAAAACTAGACCCATCTAATTAATGTGAATTGGWCCTATTTGATAACCAGAATAAAGTAGAAAACTGTTCAAGGAGGTTATTAATCATAGATGAAATAAACCTAGACCTTTTAGGAAAAAAATAATAATAATAATAAATAAATAAATAWATATATATAAGTAGAATCACGTGTATGTATAGCTAGTGTGAGGCAAATATTTTTCTCATCTATATTTCTGATCAACAGATTGACCAAGATTTGTGGCTCATCTAGATGGTTGAATTTCCATTATTTAGTTTACAATATCCTGCGTTCAATTGAATCTTGAAGCACGTTGAAGGCTGAAGAGCTTGCTGTTGATAAGAATCTATGTTGTGAAATCGTAGAGATGGCATGACTTCAAGGTTTGGAATTCATTAATCATAGATGAAATCAACCTTGTTCTGAGAAACGACCATTTTAAGCCACTGATTTACGAACAAATAACCGCACACAATCTGCGAATAGGAAAACAAAGATCATGGGAGTCGAGAGAAATATTAAATCAATGGTACCAACTAATCTAAAACGTCATTTTCTCTGTTATGTGATATTTCTTATAAAGAAACGTTAAAAATCTCAATTTGGTCCATCCAATCTCCCACTGGATTCTGACCCAGTCTTCCCTGTCAGTTTTTCAACCTTCAACAACATAAAAAAATCATTTATGTAAAGAAGGAAATATATTGATACTATGCTTCACATAAAAAAATGTTCTATGAAAGGCAATATAAGGGCCAATTGGGGATTTGATTCAATAAAGTATCAGCGAGCTAGTTGACGATAATAATTATTCAGCAAGTAGAAGCCAGTTAATAAGGATCTATAGGGGTTTGGGATCATATCACAGGCAGCAGCTTCAAGCTTGAATCATGGTATCTCAAACTTTGTACTCACTGCCAATTACAAAATATCTGATCTCATCTGCTTTTCTACAGCTACTTTTGTCATAATAGTAATTGGGTGTTTCTTTCTTTAAACCAGAAGTGTTCGAGAGAACTGTGAATGTCTTTCAGTATATGCAAAGAATTTGAAACAAAGAACAGTTAAAAAAAAAAGTTCTTACCTCGAGTAGCACCTTTCCTAGGTTTATACCTGTCCATTTGGCATATGATTGTGTGATCCCCAAAGTTTTGTATCATTATAATTTGAAGAAGATTGCAGGTTCCTTTGAGCTGTACTGATAGAGCATCAAAGCCAGCAAGCAGTGGCATATGGTAGGAAATGTGTATTCTTCAAAGGGTAACTGTGGTAACCACATGGCCGCCATGAGGTGAGAGAGGAGCATCTCAATTTATTTCCACTGCAATGAAAAAGCCAATAATGACTTTGGCTGAACCCATCTTAGCTTCCATCTCAGAAATCATAGGTTCTATAGGGTGCAGTGAAGAAGAACATGAAAAGTTTATTGAGATTGGAAGCTACTTTTATCGAGCGTCTTTAGCCATTATGGAGCTACAAGCAATAGACCCAATAAATCTTGATGAAATCTTCCGATCTCTAGRCAATAGCATCAATATTGCCAAGGATCTTGTGGAAAAGTTCCTAACAGGAATTCAACTAACCTCAGATCCCAAACCAATTAGCATCATAGGTCTGCTAGAAGAGGTGATAAAACAAATGGGCGAATGCTTGAGCAAGACCAGCATCTATACATACGAGGATCAGAATTATGTGAAAATGGCAGTTCAGTCCCTTTCAGATGAGATGCAGAATATGTCCACTAAAGTTTTCCAAGCTCAAGCCATAACCAACGAGGAAGAGATACAAACTTCTTTGGAGGAACAATCAGAAAAAGAACCAGAAGTTATAGAAAAAGATCTATACCCCGTTGACATGGATTGGGACACGAAGGATACACATTTCCCAATTGCTTCGGAGTCGAGTGAAGCCGTTACAAATACAAAAAGAAGAAGCCAAATGAAGTATAGAAATGTTACAGAATCCTTGACAAAACTACCCTCAATGGCTCACTACATAGAGCCACTCTTTGAGACCTTCTTCTGTCCATTGACAAAGGATATTATGGATGATCCAGTAAGCCTAGAAACAGGAGCAACATATGAAAGACAAGCAATTGTTGATTGGTTTGAAGAGTATGAAGAATCTGAGGAAATTTTCTGCCCGGTCACAGGGCAAAAGCTGGTGTCTAAAGCCTTTAATTCCAACAGAGCTCTGAAGTCTACAATAGACAAATGGAAGGAGCGCAATGAGATAGCAAGAATCAAAGTCGCCCGAGCCGCTCTGTCTTTGGCCAGTTCAGATGAAATGGTGCTCGAGGCAATCGAAGACCTGTTGAGCATCTGCAAAGGGAAGCAGTGCAACGTAGAACGGATCTTCAATTTTGATATGTTACCTTTACTCGTTAAGTTTCTGGAGTACAAAGACAGAGATGTTAGATATGGAGTTCTGGAGCTATTGCAACAAATGGCAGAAATCGATGAAGATAAGAAGGTTTTAACTCACTCTAGTTGTCTTATTATTATACAAAATTGATTGTATCATGTCTCTACAGTTCCTCCCCCGCTCCCCAAAATTAAATAAAAGAAAAAGGAAGAATGAAAAGAAATAAATAATTAAAGAACAGAGAAAGAAACAGCTTTTACAATTTATTCTAAAGGTCCATCCTTTCAAGTACTTCCATTTTTAGATGAATGAACTGAAATCAAGAGAAAGATAAACATCAGACCTGCAAACATGCTAGAGACTTAGGATCCACTGAAAGGTCAAAACTATAGGAGCAAAAAAATAAAATTGATACTTGTATGATCTGGTGGTTAGTGGTCATCTAAAACAATCACGATTCAGCTATCGTTGACCAAAAAATGGAAAAAAGAAGAAAAGAACCTAAATTTTATTTCCTAAGAAAAAAAAAAGGAAAGAGAAAAAAAAAGCCTAAAGTTCTACCTCTCTTCAATCCTCTAGTCTAATAATGGTAATAATAATAATTCTTTCTCTCTGCTTCCTTGCTAGATAAATCCTTAACCTCGTAACAGCCATGGGTTTTCAATGGTCATTGCCTATCTTTTAAACTATCATAATGAACATCCAACTTCTACGACTAAATATGATAGATTAGAACTATATAGGCTACTTTGAACGGTATGTTCTCAAAATATTACCCCTTAGAAGTAAATAACACTGCTGAAATCCATTAGGCAAATCTCTTGATTAGAAACTATACAGCAGAGTCTTTCTTCATATGTTTCATGGTGTAAAACCACATCTATCACTGATTAAAAATGGAATGAAATAAGTTCCCCTCTCCCTAGTTCTACAACATAATATGCCACATTTTTCTTGCCAGTTTGATACCATTAGCTAAATCAGTTTTTGGAATCAGCTCTACCACATCTATATGGTGATCAGATCAGCTACTGGTACCTTTATTAGTAATCAGTTACTGGCTTGTGCTCGGTAGGGTAGAGTTTAAATTTAATAAAATGAACACCACAAGTTCTGGTTTCTGCTCTCTACATTCATGTATACCTAAAGGTAAAGATAACCCAATTAATTAGGGAGTTATAATATAAAACTTCAGCTCTTGCAAATCAAAATAAAATAAAATAAAATAAAACAATCAGAAATGCAGAAGTGTAGACATCTCATTTACTATTTCTTATTATGCAGAAAATGATCTATAACCAATTGGATATGTTGAGAATGATCAAACTACTATCAAGTAGTCACCAGTTCATACGGAACACATCGTTGCTTCTGGTGCTTGAGCTTTCAAGATCACAGTCATTGTCTGATCAAATCGGTTCAGTAACTGGAGCGATTCCAATGCTGATCACCATGAAGTACAACCGATCCGATGAATTTGCTTCCAGAAAGGCAGATGAAACATTGAGAAACTTAGAGAGATCTCCAACTAATATCAAGCTTATGGCAGAACATGGACTCTTGGAACCCCTCTTAAGGTATCTTACTGAAGGTGAGTGTAAGATTCTCGAAATCACAACATAAGCATACTTCACAGTTCACATGATTTGAATAATAATATTAATAGAATAACTGGAGGAATATGTGTTGAAAATCATTAGATGTTCATAACAGGTAACGTAGAAATTGGTTGTTAATTCAATGATCACACTTAACCTCAGAACTTAATATTGCCATTGTTGCATTTCAGCTTGAAGTAAATATGGATAATTTCCACCGTATATCAACTAAGTAATTTAAATACAGGTAGTGAGTGGATGAGAATAGAAATGGCAAGCTATCTTGGGGAGATGGTTATCGAACATAACTGTATGGCGCATGTAGCTGAGACAGCCTCTCCAGCTCTTGTCAAGATGGTGCACGAAGGAGATGCATTTATCAGAAAGGCAGCATTTAAAGCTCTACTGCAGATTTCATCTCACAAGCCAAATGGTAAAATACTGGCAAAAGCTGGCACTGTACAAGTCATGGTTGAAGAGATGTTCACTCGTACCATCTGTGATGAACTTAATGACCCAAAAAAAGAAGCAGCTCGAATACTGGCAAATATATGTGAGTCCAACCTCAATCCTGAGATACTTCAAGTTAATAGTCACGGCTCCACTATGAGTTCAGAGTATGTAGTCTACAACATTATTGACGTGCTCGAGAACTCAACCCCAGATGAATTTAGCCTGAGCCTCGTCAGAATATTATTATGCTTGACAAAATCTCCAAAACCAATCGACACCATTGTTTCAGGTGTAAAAAACACTGAAGCATGTGATACACTCATAGAGTTCATCAGTAGTCCAGATGAGGAACTTGAAGTGGCAGCAATAAAACTGCTTATCTCATTGTCCCCTTACATGGGATTCACAATGGCAGAAAGACTCTGCAAAACCAGTGGCCAAGTGGAGAACCTTATCAGGAGCATTACCTGGACAAACCAAATCACAGAGAAGCAAGCACTTTCAGCAACATTCTTGGCAAAACTACCCCACCAGAGCCTAACTCTCAACACTGCTCTAGTAGACAAGAACATCGTGCCCAAGATCCTGCAAACGATCAATCAAATACAACGCAGTGGAACAAGAATGAGCGGGTATGCAACTGCTTTACTAGAGGGTTCAGTGGGCATTCTCGTCAGATTCACAGCAACACTTTATGAGCCACAAATGTTGTTTCTAGCAAAATTTCACAATTTCACATCATTATTTACTAACCTGCTCACCCAAACATCAAGTGATGAAGTTCAAAAGCTATCCGCCATTGGGTTGGAGAAACTATCATCAGCATCCATGAGTTTATCTAAGCCCCTGGATACCAAAACAAACAAGGTCAGAAAATTCCTCCACTTACGCAAGCTTCTATCGCTTGGTTCATCAAAGAAGAGCCACTTACGAGTATGCCCAGTTCATAAAGGGGCTTGCTCTTCACAAAACACATTCTGTTTAGTCCATGCCAAGGCAATTGAAAGGCTATTGACGTGTTTAGGCCATGAGAATGAAGAGGTAGTTGAAGCAGCTTTGTCAGCCATCTCTACACTGGTGGATGACGAAGTCGATTTGGACAGAAGTGTGAGCCTACTGAGCGAATTTGACACAATAAGGCATGTTCTGAATGCGGTGAGAATGCACAGACAAGAGACTCTATGGCATAAATCATTCTCGTTAATCGAGAGATTCTTGCTTAGAGGTGGGGAACAGTCTCTTTCCAGCATATCACAGGACAGATCGTTGCCCGCCATATTGGTAACTGCTTCCCATCAGGGAGACGGCGAGACGAAGCAGATAGCCGAGAAGATATTGAGGCATTTGAATATGGTACCAAATTTCTCTGTTCCAAATTATACTCTGTGATTAGTGTACATTGACACTGTACAAATGAAAAGGAAAATATAAGTTTGGCGCTGTTCATAAATTCTCGAAATTTGCTGCTGGCTGCGTTTGCGAATCTGATTAGCTTCAGCGGCAACTGAATTTTTTTTTTAATAATGCTATTTTCGAAAGTAATTACGAAAATATGTAACTTCCCAAACTATTTTAAAAAATAATGTTTTGGAAATAGCAGGTCRACCTGTGAGGTGGCAAACGCTGGTCGTCTCTTTTTTTTTAAAAAAAATAAGGCTTGGTCTACGACGACATGTTTGGTGAGATTTCGAAAATCTCGACTGATTGTCTCTTACGAGAATCACAACAAAACAATTATTATATATATGTAACACAACGTTTCAAAATAAAATGTATAATGTGGTATAGTGGCTAACAGACCATTTGGTAAGATAAAGATCACGGGTTCGAATGCTGATATTTTAGTTTTTTCGTTTTAGTAATATTATTATTATTATTATAAAGGATTAACGTAAAAAAATATTATTATTATTAATTATTATTTTTTTTTATTTTCTGAATTATTATTAATAAAATAATATTACCACTCGAACCCGTGCTCTTACAAAGCGCCACGTTAGCTGGTCGTCTCGTGAAGAGACGATTGCCACTTCACAGGTCGTATTTCCAAAACATTATTTTTGGAAATAGTTTGGGAAGTGGTATATTTTTGTAATTACTTTCGAAAATAGCATTATTAAAAAAAAAATCCTGTCGGCAACTACAACATATGATCGAGTGAACAAAAGAGTGTTGTCCGGACAAAAATCGAATTAAATTCAAGACGATTTAAGGTTGAGAAAAGTGAAAACTATGAATGAATTTGTACGAACAATGAGCAAAATGCATGCCGAATTAAAACCAAACCTATTAGATATCCAAAATTAAATTTATCTAATCCATTAGTTTAAACTACTTGTCGACCTCTCCTGATGCATCTGTAAGTAATGAAAGCATCCATGAGTTGTGTCTGTCCTTGGTCAGCACGATGAAACAGGTAGGCAAGAAAGAGCAATATACGAGATCAGCAAAAAGTTCACTGATTATGAGACAAGGTATACGGTTCTAGAAAAAAAAAAGCGGTTGTGCTCAACCATGAGCCTCGCAACGCCTACGCCACTACATGTTGAACTATACGACCATGCTGATTGCAAGGATGGACCCGCTGAAGTATCTCTTTGAAAAGCCAGCCTTCATGGGCCAGCAAGGTGGCAGATGTGACTCTCAGAGTTCGATATTGTGTACGTCACCCAAAAGCCCTAAATGAGTAAGGAAAGGGGCAAGCAATAGCAGACCACCTACGGATCATCTCGTGCCTGACTATGAGCTTGATTTGATTAGTAATGGGACGAATTTCCCGGACGAAGCTATTCTATTAGCGGTAGGCGAAGAAGAAGACGAAACTATCAGAATTGAAGGTGAATCCCTGCATTATTTTTTGAGTTAAATGGTCATTTATTCAGTTTTAGCATTCTCCAATAGATCATGGAATAAAATATATATTTTTAATATTCATGAGTGTTCGTGCCTCTGCTAATCTCACGAAAGACCCTACGACATTTAGTGTCGAGAAGCACATAGTAATTAATTCTTAAGGTAAGTGGCCATATTAGATCGGAAAAGAATTTAAAAAAATTGAAAGGCGGGATTTTAGCCCTCCTCTCCCTAATTTGCTTGAAGAATTAAAATATGATGTGTGTGTGTGTGGAGGATGAATAGATATTTTTCTAATGTCATAAATATCTATGAAAAATAAAGATAAGAAAAGTATTGTATATATTAGTCATGATTATAATAAAGTACTAATAATAAGATTTATATATTATTTAAGAAGCGAAAGGAACTCATTTATTATTCGAAATGATTTTTTATTATTTTTTTTCACCATATAGATGTAAAGCTAACATCTCAACAACTCTATCCATGTCCAAGTTTTCATTTTAGAAAGCAATTAAAAATTTAAGATATTATTCAGATTATTTTGAGAAACATAATTAATGGGAACGGTAAATATTGATGCAACACTTCCTTAGCCGTCTTCAAAAGATCTTTGGTGATTCTGGAAGGACCAACTTTATTTATTTAGGCCAAAAAAAAAAAAAAACAGATCCAGTGATAAGATAACACAATAAAAAAATGCTTAAAAAATAGTTTTCTTATGTTTCTACAGAATATTTATTCTGAAAAATAGAAAAATATTTTGGAGAGGTATTCAAAACAGACCCCAACATTTGGAAGTTAGCTTCCTTAAGCAAGCAAGCCTGCATTTTCAACTTCAACCTGTAATAAGCAATGACATAAGTGAGCAGGTTTAAGGCCGGCAATGGTCCAACCAATCAACTTCTTTTCCTTTTTGTACAATTTTCTAGCAATCTCTGTCCTGTTCTAAGCAAAAGTGCTTTGGTTTGGCCGTAGCAGTTGAAACCTTCCCTTCTTTCCATCTAATCTCCTGATCATTTAATTATTATCTCTATGACTAATTCACATCTTTGTCTCTTGACTTGTTCAAGATTTGACACTCCTTATCATATTTCACTATGCCAATATCAGTGGAGAATTTCACTAAACAAATGAATATGATCAGAATAAGGACTATTAAAACCTTGATATTGACATAATGAACTTGCCTCTATATAAAAGTCAAAATATAATTTATCGATACCGATTTTTTTTATCGATATTCAGGTGAGTTCATTGTTCACATAATGAACTTGCCTCTATATAAAAGTCAAAATATAATTCTTATGTTGATCTCACTCATTTTCAGAATAAGTTATATATCTAGCCGGAACCCATTAGTCTTCCCCAGAAGAAAATGGCTTCTTTCTCTGTGGAGGATTTTGTGGGGGATGGGGTTCTCAAGGACCTGCTTCCTAATCTGCTGGAGGAAGGCTGGGATGATGTACCGACCTTGAAGGTCATGAATTCCGAGGATATGGATGCCATGAAGATGACACAACAACAGAAGGTTTGTAATCAGTACTATTTTCCTATTCTATCACAGAAACACACCCCAGTAATAAGCAATTTCAGATGTTTATATCTTGATTTCTGAAGTGGAAACCTATATATAGCTCATCTCATTAAGGAATTTGCATAACTTATCAAAAACACTTTGAACGATTCTCATAGGCCTTTCTTTTCCTTTTGACAGGAAGCAATAGAGATAAGATGTTACCTGCATGACAGAGCTCTGATGCAGTATGGGGACAGGCTAGAGTCTTCCAGGAAATGTTTGCCTGAACTTCTAAGCTTAAGCGTAGAAGATTTAATTTCTCAGTTCCATATGAAGAGAGGCCATATTGCACGTTTCAAGGACAGAAACAGTTCGTGTGAAGATCCCGCAACCAAAAAGAGTGATGCTCCTTCCCCATCTACAAGCATCAAGAGGACTTATCAGTCCATCACCGCAAAGAGGATGCAGAGTATGAGAAGCCGAACATTTCAGGACAGAACAGTTGAGCAAGCACTAGGTGATTTTAAGATTGACGAAGGGTATGTATTCAAGGGGATTGTTGCAGCAGAACCAGCTGACCCAAGGGCATGTGGTTGTGTGCAACCTCCTCCTATGGTTGATGAAGTTGCTCCTTATTCTGCCATTGAAAGCATCTCCATTCAGAAATTAACTCCCGATTATAAGATTGGAATGGAGCGTTTGGTGAAAACCAAGACACCCCCAATGAAAGCTTCAGACCTGTGGCAGAATAAGCCTGCCATAATCCTCTGTATTAGACGCCCTGGGTAAGTTTATATATGTTGCTTCAAGACCTGGCTCTATGTTGCAGACAACTAACGTTTAGATATGAAGAAGATGGTTTAAACTTGACGCATAAAATTAAAAAGAAAGCACAAAAGGGAGGAGACTTCCTGTGATATGTGTTTCGTGTCACTTTTATATATTGTATTGGTAAAAGCCTAAAAGGGAAAGTGACAACTTACATCTCTTGAGTTTGAAAACAGGTGCATCATGTGCAGAGCAGAAGCTCACCAGATATATGCCAGAAAACCGATATTTGATGCACTAGGATTTCAACTGTTTGCAGTGATTCACGAACACATAGAATCAGAGGTATTCATGAAAATTCTAGATCCTTCAACCCATCCAACCTGTTTGGCTAAAATTGTAGTGATGCAGGTGCAAGACTTCTGGCCTAGGTACTGGGGAGGTTCTGTAATCTTCGACCAAGGTAGAGGATTCTTCAAAGCTCTAGGTGGCGGCAAATTAATGAAGGAGAAATTCCTATCCGGATTTGTTTTCAACCCTCGGGCCATAGCAAATTATAAGCGTGCAAAAGCAGTGGGACTGAAACAAAACTTCAACGGAGAAGGAGAAATTAAGGGTGGTCTGTTCATTCTTGGCTCAGGGAAGAATGGTATTGCTTACCAGTTTATTGAGCGGAACTTCGGGGACTGGGCACCTCTTTCTGAAGTAATTGAGATCTGCACAAAATTACAGGTAACTTTTGCCGGTGTCTCTAAACTTCTCTCCAGTATAAAGATCATATTGTAATCACCCATTCTTTCACACGATACAGAACCAGTCGCAAGCTCCAGGGGCGTCCATCAAAAGATCCCCGCAAGATAGCCGAAGTTCATCGCTTGTGTAACACAAATTCTCATTTGCAGTTTCCGTATGATGCTCGATTGATACTTTCCATCTTTCATCGTTCTCTTTTCTCGGATGTGCTTTAATTAATTGACCTGGCCTGGCTTATGTTCAGAAGACTTTAAACATCACTACGATGTTTCATAACTCTTGAGCACTTCATGTGGGCAATGTAAACCCGGCTTAGTTAAAAAGAAATTCTGCTCTGAGAAATAACAGGAAAATTTTTCAACATAATTCCATGAACTATTCTAAAACCTTCAGAAATGAAGGAACAGAGAAGCAGGTTTTTGTTGAAGAAAACCAACTTATTAAGTGAAGGAAAGACAACAAGACAATAACACACTAAGAAGCTACGAGAGACATGGAAATAAAATATCAATCGGGAAGAGAATGTCTTCCTGCCTGATAATAGAATAGGCCTTTACAATTCCAAACAATTGTGAATTAATCATATCCGATCTTTAATACCTTTTCCAGATTTAACATCCGTCCAAAAGGAAAAATGGTCAAGAAAAATATAACTACATTAAATATTACCAAGAGAGCAAGAGGGAGAAGTGAGAGCAGGTATTCCCTGAGTTGTAATAATATCTATGAAGATGCAGAAAATAATGGCCTGTTCGAACCCCATTTCATCATTGGAATCAATCTGCAGAAAAGGTGCACATACCAGTTCAGCAACACAGATCAAGTACTTGTGTCGCTATTCCACTTGCAGGCTTGTAGCTGAAAATAGCGTACTTGAACTTGATCACTTCAAGCAACCATCAGGTTTCACACCAAACTGGAAATATCCCCAATATTCATCAGACGAATTTTCATCTCAATACCTCCAGTAGCTTTACCGAATCGTGTGATACTCAAGGCTCATAGCACAAAACAAATCCTTCTTCTGATCCTTGGAGGATTTCTTGTTCTGTAGAACTTACGAGTCATTCTTGAATTACATCATAGCACAAAGCAACCATCAATCATGCTCACAACAATTATACACACATTCGAGATTGATGATAGGTTTCGCACTCATTTAAAACTTCCGTCATTACTTGAAGAACAATTCTGAGGTTTTGATATCTTCAGCTGAGGTTTTAGATGGTCAAAACACTACCAGAAATCCCCACATGAACATATTCCATCCTTGAACAAATGGAAACGGACTGCATCTCTTACAAGTATCTCTCTCTGGGTAATCCTAGAAATGTATTTTGTGGCATTGTGGCAATCGCCACAGACCCTAAGATTTTTGACAACTCGTATTTGAAGGCCATCAGGTATAAATATTAAACCAAAAGCGATAGCAAGTTTTTCACTGTGGTGGTTAAGCATACTTATCTTCTCTGACCTCTCAACATCATGGAGAACAAAACTCATATCAGGCACATACCCTTCCTCAATCATTTTAAGGTACAAACTTTCCAACTTGGCATATATCTGACCTGAAAATGGGCTTGACTGGTCATCTGCAGAGAAAACGTGCACTTTGTTTTTATATTTGATCCAACTATATCCTGGTTCCTTTTTCACTCCCTTTTCCCTCATTCCCTTCCTCAATTTTGCTACATCATCCCATTTTCCTTTTGCAGCGTAAATGCTTGATAATAGAACATAGCTAGCAGGGTTCTCTGGCTCTAATTCGTGAAGAGACTTGGCAGCCCATTTACCAATTTCCAAATTTCCATTTAGTCTACAAGAACTTAGCAATGTGGCCCAACCAATTGCATCGGGGCTAAAAGGCATCTTATTAATAAAGTTTTTTGCTTCTTCTAATCTTCCAGCTCGGCTGAGAAGGTCAATCATGCATGTGTAGTGATCGAGGATTGGTGTAATTCCATGTTCTTTTACCATAGATTCAAAATAATGATAACCTTTCTCCACTAAACCTGCTCTACTACAAGCTGATAAAACTCCAACCAAAGTAACTCCATCAGGTACCAAACCATGGGCCAACATTGTCTCGAAAAGAGATATTGTTTCATTGGCTTTTCCGAACTGTGCATACCCCGAGACTAAAGCTGTCCAAGAAACTTCATCCTTGATTTTCGTTTCTTGAAACAACTGATGGGCATATTCTATGTTTCCACATTTTCCATAAAGAGTGACTAGAGCATTTGAAACTGTAACAAAACAAATTAAACCAGAAACTAAAGCGTGGCCATGAAACTGGGCACCCTCTTCTAGGCTTGCGAGGTTTGCACATGAGCTAATTACACTTCCCAAAGTAAAATCATCTGGATGAATCTCATTTCTCTGCATATCATGAAATATCCTAACAGCTTCTTCACAGTAGCCATTCTGGCCATAACCGACTAACATTGCTGTCCACGATATTACATTTTTGTGCCTCATTTTTCTAAACACTGCTTCCGCAGATTTTACATTTCGACACTTGCAATACATATCAACTAGAGCACTTCCTACAAATATGTTATCTTGATAATCTGTCCTGATAATATAGGCGTGAATTTGCTTTCCTTCGCCTAGTGCCAGAAGACCACCGCATGCAGTCAATACACTCCCAAAGGTGAACTGATCCATGCACAAACCTTCTAATCTCATTTCTCTAAACATATCAACAGCTTCTCTGAACAAACCATTTTGGGTAAGTCCAGTTATGATCGTTGTCCATGAAATTGAATCTTTTTCTGGCATTTTGTGAAACAATTTCTCAGCTTCTGCGATCAAACCACACCGCAACAGACCTGTGATCATAGTATTGTACACAACTACATTCTTATCAGGTATCTCTTTAAAAACCTGTTGTGCATCGTTGATAAATCCCGTTTTTGCGTACATATCCACCAAAGGACTGCCGACGAACAGATACGATTGATAACCAAATTTGAATATTTGCCCGTGAATCTGCCGACCCAAATCAACAAATCCTCGATTAGACGAGAGTATTAGCATAGTAGAGAACGTGATCCTATTCAAGTTTACCGACCCATCCTTTAACATCATGCTATAAACTCTAACCGACTCGATAATCAAATTGTTACCCGCATACCCCGAGAGAAGCGAGTTCCAAGTGACCACATCATGCTTCGGCATGCGGTTGAAGATCTCTAGCATCTCCTGAAGGCAACCTGATTTTGAGTACACCGAAAGCAGCGTGTTCCATGAGAAAATATTTGGTTGAGGAATTTTAACAAATACATTCCGTGCATTCTTCAAGTTACCAAGTTTCCCGTAGGCACTGATAAGGTTATTAAACAGAAAGGTTTCTGGATTTGGCACAGTTCTGATGATGCGGCAGTGAAGCTTCTTAACTTGGGCATGATTCCGAGCTTCGCAGCAAACTTTAAGCGCAGCAGTGTAGTAATTTGAAGAACAAGACATATTCTTCTTTCACTGTCACAAACACTCGGCGGGAAATATCGTTGCGCTGCGTTTATGCTAGCGGTAGCGGTTCCCTTAGAAATCAAAAGCAAAAGGGAACGAACCGACCGGAAGAAGAATGATTAGAAATTCGAATTGTGTTGGATACCCGATTATTAGGGCTCGAATTCATTTTCCTGCTGGCAAGATCCGTCTCCAAGCCCAACCCAATTCCGAATACAGTGCGATACGATCCAATGCACTCGATTGCATACGCGAATGCATCGAAGTCTCGAATTCGATGGCCCTGGCCGGACCCAAAAGAATTCGGCTCACCATAGTATCTACCGAGTAAGTGTGAGTCTTCATATCACATGTACACGTAATTTTCTTAAAAAATAGCATTTGTTCGTAAGTTGTTTTTTTTTTTCTTTTTTTTGTTACTTTTTAAATAAAAGTGCAAATTAGTGGGAAGATTTCAACCCAAGCAAAGTAGTGACATTCTTTTTTTTTTTTTTTTTTGAAGAAAGAAAAGTAGTGACTTAAACTTTCATTTGTTTTTCAACTGAAACATCATTTAACATAAATTCATAATATCAATATCTAACAATACCCCAAAAATTTGAGGCGACTCTGCAACTTATTACAAGCTAAATTACCAAATCTTATCATTAACATTGTTGGAAACAATTTAAGTGACCCTTCCTCCTGCATCAACCATGAAAATCAAGGCCATTTCATGACTGATGCAGGAGAAAGTAGTAACAATAACTCATCAAATTGCTTAATAAGCTGAAGATGTTTCACTAACACTTAACAAGAACACTTCCATAGTTCCCTTTGCAGAGTTGTAAAAATTACAGCCAATCCATTTCAGCTCTAGAGAAATCAGAGACACTATCGACTCTCCTCTTAAGCTGTTCATTGGTTTCGAATGTCGATTCCTTGACCTCTATACATCCTCCAAGGAAAGGCAAGGACTCCTATAATCTGAACTAACTAGAATGGAAACTGTTTCTCCGTTAGGTCACTAATTTCTCGACCGCTCTGAATCAGTCACCAGCAAGAGTAACACAGCTCCAAGTACAATAATGGTATTTCTTATATCACATTTTGGACAACTAAATGCCGTAGCTTCTTTTGCTCACCATTACCATGAAGTAGAAATAGTTCATGGCGATGGATCTCATACTAACACTAATGCACCTGTACATGAAGCAGAATAGTTCGCGTCGACCTAGTATAAATTTTAAAGTTCAACTTTGGAGTTTTGTATTGGCTGGTGAATCAGATCCTGCATGAACAGACCAATTTATGTCTCAGTTTAACAAGTTTAGGACATATTTTGGATTGGGAGGGGGGTAGTTTCAATTGTACCATCAATTTCTAAACAACTGGGGGGAGTAGACATCCCAAAGCTCATCTGCACAATGTTTTGAAGTTCACCATCCCACACATTCTTTATCTGTAGACATATTTTATACGTTATACGAGAGCAATTGATAAAAATGCACAAATTATACTTCAGCAAGGTAATTACAGCTGCTACCTGAGTACGCTCCTTAAATCCACCGGACATTGGAGTCATCTGGGAATTTATTGTGCTTCTTAACATCTCACAGCTCCCTATGGCAGGAAAACTGCTTGGGATAAGTCCATGATGAGAAATACTTGGCAGGGGACCCGTAATGGGCATATGTGAAGAAAATCCCGACGATGGACCAGCTCGTGATTGAAGAATCTGAGAAAATTATATGTATTATAACCAGATTATGCATGATCTGATATTCCCGAGAACTTTTGGCATTCTTTAATGTGAACTTTCACTTACATCTTTGGCTAGGAGTCCATCAATGTTGATATCCAACCTTGGATTAACAGTAGCGAGTTTCATTGATAAAAACTGCAAATATTATGGAATTTTAAGCAGTGAATATAGGATTTACAAATCAGAAGTATATGCAATTGCCATCTTCAGGGTTCAAAGAAATCTCACATATATACTAACTGGTAAGATTTTCCAACTATTTTATCATCTTTATAAGTCAGCAGGCAATGTAGCAAAAGATATCTGCTAGAAAGATACTGAAGCAAACAAACTGATTTCATACCTCAACTTGTCGTTGCAGCGATTGGACGTAGTTTATGATTTCGTCTAGCATAACTGCCTTGCCAGTAACCTGCATAATAAAGCTTTCATGAAGTGAAAAAATAGATTTCGATGCGATTCTACCATCTGTCTAAGATACAAATTTAACCACCAAACCTTGCTGCAACCGGGGACTAGTTCTTGAAGGAACTTCATCCTCTCACTAATCTTCTCCCTCCTTACCTACAATTTAACTCAAAGTCAGTCAACCTATGTTTTCATGCATGCTTAGAAAAGCTATTCTGATATGATTAAAAAGATTAAATGTAATATATGACCCTCTCTGCAAGACTATGGCTGTTTGTCGCCTGGCCCCTCCGAGCTCTAACATGAATATATTCTTCCTTTGGCGGATCTGAAGGTTGAGGTGCCTGTTTACCATGTTTTACTGTACCCTTGTTTGTGGTTGAACTTGGATTTTGATCTCCCTTCCGCTGAGTATCGATATTATCTTTAGCTGAAACACCATTTTGTTGCAGAGGTCCATTGGCTTGATCAAGTTCAGTCTTCTATCCAAAACAAATTGTTGGCAAGGATAGGAAACATACAAAATCAACAAGCTAATTAGCGACAATTCTCCTCACCCATTGCAGGGGGAAAAAAAGAACAAGAATCATTATTTATTACCTGTCCAGTCCTTTTCCTTTTCCTTGAGCCGAAGCCCTTGGCAGAAAGTTCCTTACCTGTAACCTCCAACATACAAGGCTCACCAGAACCATCACCACTGCTAAACTCAGCTTTATCAGAATCATTAGCAGACCCATCAATGGCAAGTTTACCACGATCATTCAATTTCAAAGGGCTTTCACTTTCTGGCAAAGTCCTTCCAGTAGCTCCATGTTCATTAGTCAAAGAAACAGGTTTGGAAGCTTCACTACTGTCAACCATGTTTCTTTGAGATTGTCCTCCAGTTTCAGATACTAACCCATTTCGAGAAATATTATCCCTTCTCTCCGGTATTACTCCCATGCCTCTAGAAAAAGCACACATAGGCTCAGGAATGTTGAAATGGCCAACAATATCACCAAAATTTCCACCACTAAAGCATGAGAGCCTGGCTGCACGCTCGATAAATGAAGAATCGGCTGGAAGTTGAGATAAGCTCGGTGGGAGCGGACCGGGAATATTTGGTAGGTAAACTCCTCCTTTCAACCTAGAATGTGATAGGTTCCAGCTGATGTCAAGTGTTCTGTCAATGTCACTGCTCAAAGAAACTGGACAGCCACTGGCCTTGCTAATTGCTATGGTGTTTGAAGAAGTACTGCAGTTGTTCTGGTCTCGAATGTTGCAAATTCCCAAGTTTTGACAATTAGCTGCTTGTTCCCAAATGGTAGAGCTGAATGGCTCTACTACAGGAGCAGTGGAAGAAGAACAACCGACCATATCCTGATTCCTAATTACATCCACATTCCCTGGCAAAACCAAACCCATCGGAATATTCATGAGAGTCGTCTCGCCAAATCGCCAGTCCGAAGACATGCTATGTGAATAGTTAATAGAATCCCCTGTGCTACTTTCTAGTCTAAATTTATCTGTGTCACCAATATCCATTATCCCTTCACTAAGATACCCAGAAGAAGCATGTATAAGGTAATCCACTTTTCACAACGGCTTTTTGACCACAAACTTCAAAATCAGCTTACTCCAAGCAGCATCTACAGGTTTTCAACAAAACAAAAAAGAACTCTTATAAACTATAAATAAATACCCTTATACAAACTCCTCCAATTCAAGAAATTACTTGGAAGTGGAATAAATGGTGGAAGAATGTGAAGGTACCAACAGTAACAGCTTAGAATGAAGATGGCACATCAATTAAAGAACACAATAGGGCCAAAGAATGAAGCAAAACCAGTAGTGTTCATAAAGATGTGGCAAAGAAGACATTATTTATGAAGCAACCATTTCACAAGCCAGAAGGGAACTTGAGAAGTACTAAATAGCAGAAATGAATGCCTCCCACTTTCCCAAAGACAACAAAAACTAGAAAAAAACGACAGTTCAAAGAGGAGGAGGTGAATAGAGTGTACAGAAGCAGAAGGGCAGTCAATTGATAAAAACAGAGTAGCTACACAGCATTGATTTCAGCATAATAAATATACGTTCAAAGCCCTAGTCAGAGCCAGACCAGAAAAAACCAAATTTCTGAATCATAGAGAAGGAAAACGGCACCAAAAGTAGCAAAAGAAAGATACCCATTTCAGATAATGTACCACTTTCAGTACTGCACAGCCTCATTCAAACCTTTCTCCAAATAAATTCCATTGAATTTCGGCTTTATGTTCGAACCCCCCTTTTTTCAATTTTCAGCTCAGGCACCCCAGCCTCTGCACTGTCACGCCTCAGAGAGATGCTCGCACAGAAAAAGGAAGATTTTATTGAATCAGAGAGAGAGAGAGGGGAGGGCAGTGGAAAGATTTACAGGGAAACGGGTTATTTAAGCAATTGGTGAAAGGGAAGCTACAATAGTAAAGGTTCTGCATTTATAACCAAACTTGCATGAAAATGAGAGCTCTTGATCATTAAAACCACGGTTGCTTTGCTGCTGCTGCCGCACCAAAACCATTACATAAATATTAATATGCTTCTCTTTTTCATCCTTTTTTACTCCATTTTCCATTTTTAACTTTTGAAATTTGAATTCTTCTCAAAATTTTCACTCCCTTCCCGTCCTTCTATTAAGTTACAAACTTTCTTCTATGATAAAATCCTTACTTATAAATTAAAAGGGCAAACTAAACCGTGATATTCAAACTTAACACTCTATCCTTATCACGATATACTATTGTTTAATTTTAATTTCATCTAAAAGTTTTATGACAATAAAGATATTATCTTTCACTTATATATTATGCTCTTTCCCTTTTTCCATCCGTGCATGACTTTAGTGACATAACCTATCATTATCTCAATACTTTGTGCTAAAATTTTTAACTCAAATCTCTCATCTTCTTTGAAGCGGGTACGAAACCTAACAAAGGACAACATTAAATTAGAGAAAAAATTGATCAGGTTACATGAATTCGAACGACACTGATAACATGTTAAATCATCATTAAAACGATACATTTAACACTTTACTTACATCATTAAGAACGAACTTGGTTTGGTTACAAGTAGGGCCATTAAGTTGGATGTCAGTTGACAGCTCAATTAGCAGCAGCTCAAATCAGCAGAAGAAAAAGGAAATGGTGAGTAAATATTGTCCGGAATGTTGTTGAAGCTGTCGCTGAGGATGCTGCCCTAGCTGCCTAAGCCGTAGCAGAGAGTAAATATCATAGATATGCACCACTCATAATTCACTTCAATAATACAAATTATTGGTGATATTTTGTTGGATATGGAAAATAAATTGTTGTTGGGGTTTGAATATTCTTTTGTTGCCAGAAGATGTTTTCAGATCCAAATTTAAATTCTGTTTTCTGTATACTTATTTGTTTGCATCTATTAATTTAGGTAGATTTCATTTTTAATTTTATGTTTCTAAAATAATTATGCTTGTTTTCTAATCATTTGTTTAATATATTTTTCACTTTTTTTATAACACATCTATATTTTTAGTCAAATTCTAAAAATGAAAGTAAGTTTTTGAAAATTACTTTTACGATTTTAAAAGATGGATAGCAAAATAAGAATATATAGGTAGAAATAATATTTGTAAGTTTAATTTCAAAAAAAAAAAAAACCTCGGTTAGTCCTAAATCAACTATTATTTTCTTTATTTTATTGTAAAAAATATCTGGTCCTCACAAATTTACAATTTTTTTTTCTTTATTTTAAAAAATTTATATGAATTTGTTTTTTTTTCTTTTTTTCTTTTGTCGAGTACACATATGAATTTGTATTGGGTGTTGGGTGATGGGGGCTGTATTTGTATTGAGTTTGGTCAGAGTTTGGTCACGAGTCACGACCAACGAGCTTTGTCTAAACCCATGTTTGAACAAAATGCGTACAATAATTTCGCATATCAATACATAAAAATTTTAAAGGAATTTGTACTAAAAAAACAAAATTTAAGGATTTCTTGACTTTTCTTCTACCTTCCAAAACTTAATTGAATGTAAATGAAATTTTTAATTAAGTCATTTCATAAATTAATATATTCGTATAAAGTTGATATATCATTAAAATATAATTTTATTAACATATTTAGACACATAAATATATCATTTATATAAATAAATTCATGTGTTGAGTTTTGTATGTCAAGTGGAATAAAACAATAATTTAACGATATACAGCCGTTTGTTAATAAATTAAGGACAATTTTTAAAATTTTTAAAAATTAAAAATTATAGAAAAGATTAAAAATCACTTGAATATTTTTCGGATCCTAAAATAAATATATTTTTTCAACCTCTTTTTTAAGATCATGGTGAAGTATTTATTTTTTGTCCTAATAGACTATTTCGCACATGAAATCTATGTGGGTTCTTGTTAAGATTTGCAAAGACTAATTAATCGTGTCTTCTAAAGAAGTACCTATTATGTAGATCACCATTTGTTAAGTAACTTGACTATTATTTTTGAGACAAATATTAGTTAAAAGTAGAAGCTTGTAGTATTATATGAGAAATGGTTCTATATTACGCTGGTTTATTGGGCTCATAATGTAGCTTATGATTAATATGTTATTCCAATATTACTCCAAGGTTTATAAGGTAAGAGAATTATCTATATTGTTATTAAATTAAATCATTATAGTCAAATTTAACATATATAAAGTATCTATCTTCGATCAAAAGATCGTATAACTACTATTTTGCAAGAGTATAATTTGTTTTATTTTATCGATTACTCGATACAATTTTTTCTAACCAATATAGTAAAAAATTCATTCTTCATTATTTAATAAATTAACCATAAACTATCAACTAATAAATGTAGGACGGTGATTCTGATTTTTTTTTCCTTATTTTTCCACAATTTTTTTAAGGTAAAGCTTAAATAACTTGGTCTCCACACCTAAGCTACACTACAACCTCATTTTCAAGATCTTCTTTTAGCTGATTCTTATCTGTAATAGGGAGATTAATTGATTTTCCATTTGAAAGGAGAGAATTGATTGATTGATTAAATTAAAGGAAAAAATGAGATTAGTTTAAATTATATTAAAATCATTTATATACTGTTAAGTAAAAAAATAAAATAAAAATCGGGTATAATTTAATCATATCTTTTAAAAAGAAAGAGCTTCTTTAAGATTAGTGAAATTTGAATTTCAGTATTGGAAAAAAGGCAGCCAATATTTAAAGCATGTCGTATAATATAATATTCATAAAATTTCAAGAAGAAAAAAAAAACCTTAAAATCCTCAAAAAGGGGTCAAAAGACAGGAACAATATGGGGAATGGAAAGTAAAAGGTAAACAAATCGGACGGCCAGGAAATAATCAGAAATCCGACGCATAGTTAGAGGAGTTGACTCGTGAATTATGAATTGGCGTGGAAGAAAGTGCCGGCACCGCACTGATCGGCGGTGGCTAAAGATTTCCTTTTTTAAAATAATAATAATAACAAAATCTTAGTCCCTACGATCTTTATTTTATTTTATTCTTTAAATTTATAATTTTATCTCAAAATTAAAATAATTATTATTTTATCACCCAATACTTACTTTAATAAACTCATGTCACCCTACTCCATCAATATATTAATAAAAATATTTAAATCTACTCAAATAACCGATAGAAAGTTAATCTAAATCTAACTCAACAAATTAATACATTAATTGCAACATATTAATAAAAATATTTAAATCTACTCAAATAACGGATAGAAAGTTAACCTAAATCTAACTCAACAAGTTAATACATTAATTGCAACATATTAATAAAAATATTTAAATCTACTCAAATAACTGATAGAAAGTTAATCTTAATCTAAATCTAACTCAACAAGTTAATACATCAATATCAATTAGAAGGTCTTATACTGGAAAAAAAACAAAAAAATTAATGGTAAAAGTTAAGATGCTTATTTTTCAAAATTTTTATTAAAATAAATTAATTTTACAAAAGAGTATAAATTAGTACGGAATTTAGACTAAAATATTTATTTTTAGTTCGGTGTCTTTGAAAATTTAGCTTACGGCCACTATTTGGACCTATCCATAATCCCTTGTCTATTTATAACTTTTTAAATATTTTTAAGGTTGAAAAACATTTTCATCATTGTATTTTTGCTAAAGTAACAATTTAGTTCATGAACTTTAATTTGTAACGATTTAGTCAATGTACTTTCAAATTGATAACAATTTAGTCCTTGAACTTTAACATGTAATAATTTAGTTATTGTAATTTAAAGTTGGTAACGATTTAGTACTTATCGTGAATATATTTTTTTTTGTTAAGTTTCTTATATATATATAGATTGATAAACTATAGAGGGACCAAACATGTTTATAAATTAGAAAGGTCAAATTATTTTTTGATAAAATTTGACATTTAATTTTAATAAATTATTAAGATTAAATTGTCATAAATTTTAAACTACATGAACTAAATCATTACAAGTAAAGTTCAGGATTAAATTGTTACTTTAGTGAAAATGCATGGACTAAATCGTTACAAACTAAAGTTCATGAACAAAATTATTACTTTAGTGAAAGTATAAGAATCGAAAGTGTTTTTCAACGTAATAGTTAAATTAAAATTTTTTTTTTTAACTCGGTGAAGAGTTTTGTTCCGTAGAATATGAAAAGATTGGTGTGCTGGTTTTTTCCCTTTTTTTTTCTTTTTTTTTTTANGACCTATGCTTTCAAATAATACTCTCTCTCCCTCTCTGCTTTACAAAATTGGCAATTTAATACTTAATATAAGAAATAACCTTTGTGGTAAAAATATAATAAGGATTAAGGATGGGGGTATTCTGGAAATTTTATTTTTGCTTTTTTATAATTACAAATTTAGGAAGAATATATCTGAATATAATTGTTTTTAGAAATCACCCTCTTCAGAATAATTGTCAAATAATTCCCAAGTTTCTCACCTAATAATTGGTCTTGTACTCTACACAATTTAACAAACTATTTTAAAATTAAGACAAAATATATAGTTTTGGACCATTTTAATTGATAAGTTTTCAAATCTCGTTCAAAGTTAATGAAAATAATGACGTGCATACAGTCCATTACTCATAAACATGAACTTTGATTATCTATTTACGATATAGATTTGAATTAATTGATTATCTATGAAATCGAAAATCGTGTTCAGAATATTTTTTTTATGAAATATCATGGAGTGAAACTATTTTTTCTATCATCTCACAAATAACCCATGAGAGGTATAAAATAATGGAGGAACGACAAAAACATTACAAGTAATTAATTTACAAAATTAATGTATAATGTTAAAATTAATTAAGAACGTTATTAGTAATAAAATATTTTATAATGTTAAATAAAAATTAAATTCATAAATAAATTTAAAACGCAATTCCCCCACTCTTTGCTTTACTTAAAAAATAAATTGCATGTAAAATATATTCTTCTTTCAAAATTCAATCAAATTCAAAGTTAGTTTTAATTCAATCGAATTCATTTTTTTCCCTTTTAGAATGCATTGAAATACAATAGTTCTCCGAACATCTAAAAATAAGGTAGAAAACATTTTAATAAGAGTAAGAGTGTCAAGTTTTGGCCGAACGAGACCAATAAAATATCTCCCATGGTAAAGGTACACGAAGRTGGTATACTCCAAGTTCTAKAAAACAGTCTCATTTCTTTTAGTTTTATTAATTTAAATTGAAACACTAGGTATATTAGCTTAAGTTAATTGAGTGATATTATTTGCTCTGAGAGAATATTTTGTGTGGTTGARATCGAGGAGACAAATCTTTGTGATTATAATAAGTTTTCACATAATAGGTTTTATTTTCGTGGGGTGTGGGGTTTCTCCRATTTGAAGTTTTCCATGTAATTAATTTGTGGGCGTGAATTTTTCTTTTAGTTTCTCAGTTATTTTCTATTTAYTCGATTTTTTTCTATCAAAGAGCTCGATTATATTAAACTAAAGTGAATTCCGAATACTAAATATGATCTTGAAGGAAGGTCGAAGAATGAGAAAATTTTGGSAAAAGGAGAAGACAAGGGGAAAAAGGATATGCTACTTTTAATGATAATAGAGGGGGATTTTAAAATTAGATTCCTTGGTACCATATATTCATATTGGAGGCCCTATTCATTATTGTCATTTGTGTAAACGACAGAGATTATGATTAAAATTAAAGTTAATGTATATTTTTATTAAAGTTAATGCATAGTTAATAATATTGGCTG